CACTTGGCATCTAGCAAGAGCTTGGGGGGGTGGAGGTGGGGGGAAGTAATTTACATCAGTTTTTGGCTGCTACGCACATATGCCTGGAGAGATACACTCACAGCCTCTCATTCTTGATTTCTGCATGAGGTAAGAGTAGCTTAAGTGGATGAGGAGAGCTTGTTCTGCATTTAGGAAACAAACCTGTCTAGGACGATGGTGCTTGTGTGAATTATTAAAAGGCAAGTGCATTTACAAATCCAAATTAGCTGACCCTCTGCCCTTCCACATTTATCTCTTGTTTTGACTTGAAAAAAAAAATCACACCAAAGGACAAATTTCTCCCAGCACTGGCTCCATTTTCTGCCTCTGTCACATAAAAGTTTTGGTAACAAAAGGTAAAAAATAACTTCCTGCACAGATGTTTTCTTTCAAATACGTAAACAGTTATCCTCATCTAAGGTCCACTAAGTTGATTTCAGAATTGAGTTGTCAGATCCCCTTAAAACCAAAAAATTCCCAGCAGTCCTTATGCAGTCCTTCTCTCTTTACTGAATCATTACTTCAGGTAACGATAACAAAACCAGCCAGTTTCTGCAGCAGAACCCAACAGATTATTTAGGGGATAACCAGTTTCACTTTCATCCTGCTCGTCCTCCTCCCAGTACTACCTGCGAGCATGCCAAGGGTTAAACCTCAGCTTTTTAGGAAGCAAAACAGCAGAGGAACGAGAGTGAGAGGAATGAGGAGAGCCTGCCCAGGGCAGCAGGGGCAGGAGGACATCAGGCTGGGGCAGGGATGTCCGGAGCGCTGCAGCAGCCATCGGAGCAGCAGAGGAAAAGTTTCTGTGATTTTAGGCAAGCCCTGGTGTGACGTCAGCTCTCCCAGATAATCTCAGCGCAGTCAGCACAGGCCTCCTGCCTCCCCATTGGCGAGCCCCTCGTCAGCAGACATCTGAAGATAATTATTATTGGCCAGACAATTATAACAGGAACGACTGTCACTTCGTGCTGATGCCTGAACCTGGTGCTCTGCAGCACGATGGAGAAGGTCTCCGGCGGTCATTACTCCATCCAGGCATTTCTGTCACTTTGACTTTCCTGAGCACCAGCCAGCTTTTTGCTGCCTCACTGGCTGCAGCTGGGAATCGGGATCTCAGTACTACAACACTTTTTGCTGCCTGTCTGACAGAACATTTGTGAATTTTCTCCACAAATATTGATATACATACCCATAAGAAATAAAGGATTAGAGTTGCATTAATTCTCATGTAGGAGTTTAAAGAAAAAAAAAATCCTTTGCAGACAATTTACTTCATATCACTCCCCACTTTGAAGAAATTTGGGAGGGGGTATTGAGAGAGTTTGATTTGAGAAATAATTTTAAGCAATTATTTTAATAAACATTTGACTTAATCCTGAGCGCACTGAAATCACACCTCTCATGCTCTGAGCACGACATCATAGTATCTTAAAGTGATACTGTATTTTATATGCAAAGCTACTTGATGGCACTATACTTAAACATGTATCAACAACAGCTTTCCCACAACATAAAGTGTAAGGAGTTTCAGGAGAGTAAATGAACCTGCTGCTCTCTAAACTCCTGAAATCCTGACATTGTTATTTTAGGGAATGCCACTAATTGACAGCTCTTATCATCAGAGACGAGCAGGCTGCAAGTCCATCTTTGCAGTCTCCAACCTCACTCTGCCACTCCTGCCTCCCTGCATGAGAACCAGGCAGTCTGGGGCTATACCATAAAGGTGTGCATAAATATAAAGCCAGGCATGTGGGCAGGCCTGAAACCCATCCGTTCATAAGTATCAGGCAACAGATTATTCATTTCTCCTCAAAAACAGCACCCTCCTTACAGCACTGCTAATCCAAGCCCAAGCTTTAAAGAGGTCTCAGTGCCATGCATGTTTCAGGATGGGGTCCTCCATACAGCAAAGTAGGAACATCTGAAATCAAGCAAGGAAGAACTCATTCACTGCCATTAGACCAATATGGCCTCAGATGGGATTTTCAGGGGCAAATGGCAGTACGGAAACAAGGCCTGGGATGGGAAAGAAAAGACTGCGTGCCAGCTACTGGTGAGGACAGAGGACATGCCCAGGGAGTGATGAAGCGTGGAGCAGGTGCAAAGGACCAAGGCAAAGAGGGGCAGCCCTCGGCTGAACAGAACCAGACCTTGCACCATGATCCTTCCTGACCAACCATACCAGTACCTAGGGGTGTATGCCACTACCCCTAGGCTTTGTGTTCAAGTTTTTCCAGCTTCAGGCTTACACAGTTTTAATTAAAAGGGCATGATGGTGCTTTAACCAGTTCAGAACTTACAGGATATGTAAAAGGATTCACATCCATCCTCAAACTAGGCTACATCTTCATGTACAACCTAGTCAGACAGTTCAAAATCCAAAAGTCAGAGTCAACTCCTTAGAGCAAATTCATGCACCCTAACACCCTACAGCCTTTTTTTGTGTGTGTGCATGTTGTAAGGTAACAAGACATAGTTCTGAGATGAGGTAAAATAGCAAATGCCACACCTATAGAATTTGTTTACCTTCACGTTAGACACTGTAATAGTATTGCACCCTAATTTAAGTAACAATTACAGTATAAAATCCTGGCACAATCTCTCCTTAAGCAAGTCCCCCTAGTCTTTCTTCCTGCTCAAAGAGTTAAGGATCATGTTTATCCCTACATACTACTACTTGACAACTTCATCTTGGATGGCTCTTATATTCAGGATGTGTACATTAAGGCTCCACCTACAAAGTGCAGGAGCCATGTACTCTGCCACTGATGTCTGCACACACAAACCTATTGAGTCATCCTGACAGAAGTCAAAAAAGCTGCTATATTCTACCAGTTCAGCTCCCTGCAAAACCCAAACACTTGAACAGGACCTGTTTCATTAAGCAAGAGCGTTTCTTCAAGATAAAAATGCACAATTTAACCTGTAACTTGGAAGACTCTCCAGCAGCATTTTTAGGAAAAGCCTGCCACAACAGAGACCTCAGAGGCCACAGCTCTATTTAATTTCCAAAAATATTCCCAGGGCACAGGAAGATCATTCTCCTTCACTTTCACTAGAATCAAAGACATTAATTCATCGTTTCCTCAGAGAAGGTGAAACTACACTGAAAAGCATGTGGACATGTATAATTGTGCTTCTTTAGCTGTACAGCAGCAGTGTAACACCGATGGTCTCCTCCTCTGAACCTGGCAAGTGGGAGCCCAGCGTTACAGAATCCCAGCTGACGACCTCTGCAGCACATGAAACTGCTAGAGAGATTTCCATAACACTGTTTAGTATTTTTGTAATACCTGACATCTTCAAAGCACTCAGTAAACATTACTTCAGTTATTACAGCACCTCTTAAGAACATTTCAGCATTACTTTGCCCCACTCCCCTGGTCTTTCTTTGCTGGGGAAACTGAGGCCTTAGGAGAGGTTATGTAATGTTCCCAAGGTCACATCATGAAGCACAGGAGAGTCAAGGAGAAGATGCAGGAGTGCTAGTTGCTAGGAATGTCCTTTAAAATAAACTGTATCTCTCACGGGTTATTAGATTATTACATATACTCATGTATCACCCCCTCCATCCTCTTTCACCAGCACGTCCTATTCTGATGCCAATTTTCTTCTGGAACATGGAGAGAATGGGAAGCATCCAATACTCCCAGCCCAAGAATATCTATGTGGTCCCCTTTCTCCTTACACATGAGTGACACCAACCACCCTTCAGGAGGTGATGAGCTCACCTGCAGAACAGTGCACATATGTGCACTTAAATGGTCATTTTAATTATACTGCCCTTAAAACTCCCCAGACAAATCACAAAAGGATTCTAGCAAATCCCTGGCTGAGATCCACCTAGGATCCTGGACTATTCTGCCCTACAAATGTAGACACCAAAGTCTAGGCCCAGAGGCAGTCCTACACTATCACTGTCCCACGAGGGTGGCATGGAGGTGGTCTTCACTCAGGAGCTCAAAAGGGCAGACAGTCCTGCCATGGGAGGGCATGGAAAGCTTGGGGCTAGCTAGAGAGAGACCACAGGAACAGCAGAAAGGACAAGACTGGGCACTAGGAGAGGGTGGTCAGGGACGGTGCACCAGCCAGGCACAGATGACTAGGGGCAGACTGTGAACACAAGGCCCGTGCAGGTGGACAAAGCCAGGACAAGGACTGGGACAAGGTGGGCAAATGTCATCGAGAGAGAGATCCCAACCCCGAGGACAGCTCAGAGGGCCCCGCGGAGGGGGGAAGGGCAGCTGGGGCGCTCTCTCTCCATCCTCGTCTCCCTGCTACCGGCCGAGGCCCAGGGATGCCCCCGGGGCAGTGCCTGGCAGAGAGCAGCTCCCGGCACAGCCACTGCCCTTCGGCGGGCCAGGCTGAGAGCGTGTGTGCCTTTGCGGGGCCGTCAGGCTCCGGCTCGCCGCGACCCGGGGAGCCCCGACGGGTCCGTGCGCAGCCCCGGTCCCGCCGCGGCTCGGCTCGCCCCGGCTCCCCGGCCGCACGCACACGCCGGGAAAGTTAATAACCGCATGGCTGCAAATGAAGTTTAATACGAGCTGGGGGAGGGGAGGGGGAAGGCAAATGGGCTCCGCGGGGAGCGCGGGCAAACGCGCAACTTGTTTGAACGCGGCTGCAGCGCGGGGAGCGGTAGGGTCGGGCCAGGATGGAGGCAAGGAAGGCCGAGGGCAGAGCCGGGGCACGTGTGCGGCTCTGCGCCGCCGGACCAGCCGGGCCAGCCGGGGCGCGGCGGGGCTCGGGCCCCGCGGAGCACCGCACCGCGCCCGCGGCGGGATGCTCCGGCCTTGTGTAACCCCGGGCTGGACCCCGCCCGGGCGCGCAGGTAGCCTCGGCGGCAGCGCCCGTGTGCCCGTGCACCGCGGCGCAGAGCCGAGCCGAGCCGCACCGCGCCGGCCGGGCGCAACCCGCGCACCCGGATGGGCTCAGCACCTCCCCGATCCGGGCGGGCGGCGGGGCCCGGGGGCGGCACTCACCAGTTTTCCTGCATCCACTGGATGGCCGCATGCTCGTTGAACTGCTTCTCGAATTCGTATTCCTGCAAAGTCAACACTGACATGTTCATTGGCCCGGTGGCTGCGGAGCCGCTCCCCGCGCCGAGATGCTGCCTGCCGCCGCCTCGGGAGCCGGGCCCCTGCGCGCCCGCCGCCGGAGAGCCCCCGCCTCTGGCCTGGCCCGCCCCGCCTCAGCGGTACCCCGGGTTTAACATAGCTCCGCTCCCCTCCGCGCCTCTCCTCCCGGGCCCGCCGGTCTCCTCCTCTTCTGCGGCCGCCGCGCAGCGCCCGGGGGCGGCGCGGTCTTAGTGCCCGCCCGCCGCCGCCGCCGCCCGGGACACCCGCCCCCCGCCTCCCCTAGCACGGCCCCGCCGCTCCTCGGCGCACCGCGCCGGGGCTGCGCTCCTGGCGGGGAGGATCCCCCACACACACACCACAGGCTGTAAAAAATAGCTACAAAAATAGGCAGCCCCCACCCCTGTGCTGAATCCATGCCGCAGCGCCCTGCGTGCCCTTGCCGGCCAGCCGGGAACTAAAAAGCACACAAGCTCGGATTTAGCCAGAAGGGCAGAAGCATACCCTCCCCTAGAAGAAGCCTACACACCCCGACATGTCCTTTTTTACATTTAGAGCCCAGCGCACCTGCTGCGAGTGCCTCCATCCCGCGGCAGTGCCCCCCTGCCCAGCCGGCTCCAGCTTGTTGCGGGGACAGGGGCTGCAGCTGGGTGTCCCCATGCAGGGGGCACCGTCCTGCAGCCGGGCTGCCCCGAGCTCCCTGATGTGCACAGACACGCTTTTGGATGTTACACTATGCTTGGGGCTGGTGGAGCATGGGGCAGAGACCCTAAGTCTAACCATCACCTGCTGAGCTGCTCGCAGTTGGGTCACACGGTGTTTATATAGCCTTAAATTTCCTTCCCGTCTCATCTGCCACTTGCTGATGTTTCCAGCTGAGCTTTTCCGACTCCAGCTGCATTCTGAATGTGCACTGCAGTACGAGCCGAGCTAAAAGAGTGGTTCCAGCCCCCAGTGGACTTGCAGTCTTAAGGCAGGAGGAAAACAGGGTCAAAGAAGCCAGCATAAGCAAGCAGGTCCAGCAAGGTCAGGACACTCTTGACTTCCCCGGACTTCAGTTCTCATTGACATGGAAGTCTTTAGTATCATTAAACCCAAGCACTGAGAAAATGAAAAAAGAGACCCCTCGTGTATTGAGATATCAACAGCTATCCCATCTGATTATCCTGCTTGCAATGGATTACCATGCACTTCATGCCATGTTTTTCAGCGCATTAACCCAAAGGTCTGAAGACCTGCTCCCTTACACTGGCAGCTCCCTAAAGTTGGTGACAGAGCTGGTGGAGTGCACGGGATGAAGCTGAAGGTCATGAAATGTTATCACAAGGGCTCCTTTAGGGTTAGGATGGCCATGGGGCTTCAGATGAGGTTGGCTATTGTCTCCACAGGGTTTCTGTCTACCTGGGAGCTCAGTTGCCAACCGGACTTGCAAAGCATCCATGTGGCATTCAGCCTTCACTTCAGAGGGCAAGACATCAGGTAGAGTAGGGTTAAGTCACTGCAACACTTAAAAATTTACTGTAACAGTTTCAGGAAGTACATTAACAGCCTGGAAATAGTAAACCCTACTGAGATTCACGTGAGTCCCAAAAAACTCACTGGGGACTTTTCCAAGTTTTCTATAGCTCTCAGGACTTCTGCATAGGTTAAATAATTTGCAGTGAATCTTACTTCCTTTTCTGTCCTGCTCTACCTGAAAATTTCCCCCAGAACAAGTTAATCCTCAAGTTTAGAGTCACTTGCAAAATCTGTGTGAACAATGGAAGAAGAGCATAAAAACCTTCTTAGCCTTGAGGAGTTTGTAAGACCTGCTTCTAGTTGATTATACTGATCACAGTCAAGAACAGTAAACAAAAACATACAGATCATATAGTCTATTTTAAAGGAAAATAACTTTTATGCAACCATTTTTGAAGTATTTTAATTAGCTCTCACACGAAAGCACAAACTTGAAGTGAAAGTAGGAAATGTCTCTCAGGAGAAAGGATGTGGGGAGAATGATGAGGTCTCAAGAGAGGAGTCTCTTGACAACGTTAGTCCCTCTGTGCTTGTTTATGTGCATACCTTTATTTTGTTGTGGTTTTTTATGAGATGCCCATCTCATTCAGTAAGTGGATAGTTATTGAGCATTACTTTTTATTCCCTTTACTTAGCATGTCTTCTAAGGCTGTGTAGAAGGCGTAGCAGGTAAATGATACATTTTCTACCAGATATATGTTTATGCCATTTCTGTTTACTCAAGACCTTTTGGTTGAATAATGCAAGCAGTTTCATTCAGGATTTACAGATAACTCTCTAATCAGGTTGGGCACCTTACGATTATAATTTCTGCTACTAAGCAAATACTTTTCCTTCCGTGTCATAGAGTTAATTTATTGCAAAAGCCATTAGGCTTCTATTGCTGTAAGAAGTAATTTTGAATAGTTTATCTTGCTGATGTATAGCTAGGTCTCAACTAAACTCTTAGCAGCTGCTAGAAAATGAGATGCTATACTGCTGACAAGTCAACATAAGGTATAGTAAGTGGCAATGAGAGTTGACATTGTGATTTAAATGTGACATTGATTACTAAAACACATGAAGACTTGAAGGAGGTCTGTGTGCTCAAGAGCTTATTTCCAGCTGTATCAATTAATGCATCAAAGGATTTAATCTCTTTGTCATACCGGAAAAGAAAGTAACATGCAATAATCGAAGCTATGGAAAACTGGGTTCTTCTATATACTCCATGATATAGAAACAACTTGGTGATGCTCTTGGATAAGGTAATGGGAGTTAGCATCAAGAATGAATGGTCCTAACAAAGAGAAAGATTTCATCAAGTGCCAGGCAATGAACCAAAACTGGACAAAAGGCATGTATGTCCAGCCCAAGTCTGCCTGGCAACTCAGGTCTGCAAATTGCTTGTACCAGTACATTTCTCCTGATCTCAACCATGGGCATCTGGGAAGGTGCTTGAATGGATTCCATGCAAAGTCTAAGCAACCCTGTGAATCAACTGCTGTACACAGGAAGAGTTAGCACATAATAAATTAATAGTAAACATTAACCTGAATTACAGTGCTACAAAGAAATTTAAATTAAAATGTGAAGGTTATTGTGTCATCTTTAAGGTCTGTAAAATAGCCTATGTCTCAATATACTCCTTTCTGTCATGCTACAGAATCCATGGACTTCTGCTTGATCACATGCTTAGATGTCACCTGTGTGCTCTGAAACCACGTAGATCTGAGCTCTTCTGAAATATTTTTAGTGCAGCTCATGTGGGCAGGAGCAAGCTGCAGAGTGCATGCTGGGCCTGGACAGCAGCTCCAGGGTGCAGGCCTCGTGGGTAGTTCGGATGGAAATCTGCCCCTCCTCATTGTCAGGACTATGGTTTAGACTGGCTCAATAAAAGCTTACTGATGAAAGGGAGGTAGTTTTATCTTTGTCTTCACATGGTTCACCTCCTCAGCCCCTCTCAGTATTTCCTTCACAGCCGTAAGAACCAGAAGCATTCTTCACTTTGAGCTGAAGCTCTAGCCTGTGGTTTGTGGCAAGAAGTGGAAAATATCTGTGGGTTTAGATCACATGACATCTTGTGTATAAAACACAATCCAACAGCAAGATCTCCCTCCTTACAGCCATTTCCATACAAATCACCGAATCTGTATTCGCTATCTTTGCACACACTAGTAGCAGTTCTCAGCATATCCCAGATGGCATTCATTCATAGGCAAAAGACACAAGTCTTTTTCTGTATTATCTGCCAGTACATTTGCAGACCTGTGGAGTGCTTCATCCATACAAGCTGGGAAAGCACAACACCAACAGTGTCCTTTCTTCCCTTCAACCTTGGGCAGGATGATATAAGTACATGGGAGAGAAAATAAATTGATTTCATTGTTCAGAACTCAACAAAAAGAATCTATTTTATAAGGCAAGGAGGCAAGATGCAGAAGCAAAAGGAGAAAAAGTTCAAATATGGGCACATAATTTTGGAGCTGGATGCCTATGCTGAACTACCTGTTTTCATGCTGAGGCCATGATAAAGGTCTATGGCAGAGACTGGAATAGGAACTTACTTAGAGTATTTGATATTAAGCCAATTCTTGACATTCCTATGTATTACTTTTTAATTGAACTAAATTTAAAGTGGAAAATATGGTTGAAGTAACAGGGTCTGTGAAATCGCATTTTACAGACTATTTTAATTTTACATTACAAACATCACAGTACATTACAGTGCAAAAGAGACAGAAACAAAAAAAATGGCTTCAGATGCCTGGTGCTGTTATTACTGGTGTCTGGGTAGGTACACTGTATTTTGGGTAAAGAGTGAAAAGATGTAAACATAGCAACAAGTGTGTGTACTTCAACCTTTACTTTCTGTTTTATAGTTTGCATTTCTTGAAAGCCTGTTTTTGCATATTTCATGATCTTGAAAAGTGAGCAAAAAGCTGACAGGTGCTTTGATAACATGGCCACAGAGCAAAATACTGGGCACCCTGAAAATCTTGTGTTTGGGTTTTTTCCTTCATGATTTCACCCTCTAGCAGTGAGATTGCCTGACATCTGTGATTGGGAAAGTGTCATCAAACAGGCCTGGACTTTTCACCTGCTTCTGTTCTGTTCAGGTTTAACTGCTTCCAGAGCCAACACAACTGATACTGCTATCACTCCTGAACAAATCAGTTCACTCCCTTCCGTAAAAAGCCCTGATAATGCAACAGGGACATTGCCAAATGGCTTACAGGCTCTATCCCAACTGTTTCAGCTTGCAGTACAAACAGATTGCAATTCTGCTGCAGAGTTTTGTGCTGTATCTTGCAGTGGCTCTGGAAAGACCTGCTGGTCTCAGCAGGGATTAGAGGTGGTAGTACACTTGCTGGGATTTGGAAATGGTGCCCACTTGCTGCCTATTTGAAGATGAAAATTATCACTTGGGCTCCTTCACAGCAAGAACAGGATTAATTCCTATTAATTATTGCTTAACTGTTAAGGTCATGATTACTTACTGCTGTTATTAGATCAAATGTGAATGTGCTACACAAGTCCCATGTAGAGATTACCAAAATGAAGGACAGAACTTAGTCATAGGTATGCTGCATAATCTTCCTGCTGCTGATGAGATCATACAGGTATGCACAAAGGCTCACTATTAGAAAGATGAAAAAGAAGGTCTTGTTCTTCCATGTAGTAATGAGACATTTAACTATA